CACATAAAAAGGAAACCAAGCAGATAAAAGTAAGTAATTGATCATTTCCATCCCCTTTTCTGCCCAAAAGGGACTCAAGGAGGGGACACAAGCATCATCCTTACAACCAAAGCTCTACCCGAGGGCTTTTAAGTTTGGCAAGGGAAGGTTGATCAAAATCAAGATTCACAGAATTACACACAGCGTGGAGAAACGGTCTTCCCCTCTTCTTGTAACACTTAATTAAGATGATTAGTGGGAGATTCAGGGTAAACAAAAGAAAGAACTTCCGGTCGTGTGCACTTGAACTATAGTATTTTGTTCTCATGAGATGGGATGATGGTCCCAAACTCTTGAATGGATATGAGAAGGAATTAAGTGACTTCATGGAGAATAGATCCATCAAAGGCTGCCTGTCGTGACAGTTGCAGGGAACCTCCTAGCAGTACACAACTGAGTGCCAGCTACGAGGGAACAATTGCAGAAGAGGGGTGTTGCATCACATCCTGGCTGGCCATGGTAAAATACGTACGTTCTTAGCCAGGGAGAGTCAATATTCTCACGGGTGCTCAAGTAAGAATTTTTTTAATGATTTTTTTAAAAAAACCAAATTGATTTAAACCACAGCTTCAATTAAAAACATTTAAATGGTCAAAAAATCTGATTTTAAAAATTTGTACCGCGAATTTGATTTCAACTGAATCCACCCTGTCCGGTTTGATAAAGGGATGGACCTATCGAGCCACCTTGGGGACAAAAGGCAGGTGTAAATATTTTAAATAAATTGATTAGGATCAATTATCAGCAAGACAGCCGTAGAAACCAGTGCTAGGAATCACAACAGGGCAAGGTTAACTGTGAACCAAGCCTCTAGTCCTCTACGGTGGTTATTTAGACACAAGCCTGCTTAAGAGAGGAATCCTTCGGAGATACAGAAGATCAGACAGCAAGGACCCAAGTTCCCAACGCCGCACTTACACCCTTACCTTTCGGTGCTGAGGACATGACGGTCACGCTGCTGTTGCTGGTTCCTGGGGCAGGCTGGATGATGGGGATCGCTTGGGGCGTGGTGATCACCTTCCCATTGGCTGGCGGCAGCGTGAAGTGGATGCTGGCAGCCCCGGGGGCGCCCGCTCCTCCTGCTGGCACTTTCCCGCCAGCCACCTGCAGCTGCTGAGGCAAAGTGGGGAGGATGTACTGCACCTGCGTGATGCTGCCGGCCTTGCCCGCTGCCCTCGACAGGATGCCTTGAGGCTGCAGGATGCTGAGTGGCACTGGACCGTTCTGCCCAGGTGGGTTCTGGGTGATGAACTGTACTGAGGGCTGCTGGGTAATGGCCCCAGGGGGCAGCATGGTCACTGGGACGCCCGCACCTCCTGCACCAGAAGCTGCCCCATAGCCTTGAGTTCCTACAAGTAGGTTGGTGACCACGCTCCCCTGGCCTGGGGGGCCCTTCCCCACAGCAGTCAAGCCCTGCCCAATAAGGGGCCCGGCTACTAAATGCGGAGATGTGCCTTGAACCCCGGGTATTGTGGAGGACGGTGGGATCTTCTTGTCGGAACAGACCAGGCCAAGACGCCCCACAGAAATCCCTTCTGGCTTGGCATTCCCATCTGCGGGGGGAGGGCTGAGCAATGGAAGCCCCTCCCCTGATCCACGCACAAAGGGCTTGCTGGCGATGGGCACCGGAGTGCTGCTGACCGGTTTGACCACGTTCGTGACGACAGTGGGGGCTGTGCGCACCAGGCTGGGCGCCCCGCTGTAGCCGATCACCCCCACGTTGGCGGCGTTCATGGAGGGGGCGGTCACCAGCACCGTGCCGGAGGACAAGCGGGCAGAATCGGGTAGCACCACCGCTTGCACCACGCCGCCGGGTGGAGAGATGACGGAGTGCATGGGGAAGGCGTGGGGCGCTGTGCCGGACTCTGGGGCGGTCTGAGGGCCTCCGGCGCTGTCGGCCCGCTTCCGCCTGTAGGAGGCAGTGGCTGCCGCTGGGTCGAACCGGGGCTCCAGGCGCTTGGCCGGGATGCTGTGCGGGCGGAGCCCTCCTCCCCGGGATTCTTGGGCCTTGAAGGTGCTGGGTGCCATCTGAAAGGAGCTGTAGGGTTTGGAAGCAGACGGCGGCTGGTCGTGACCAGGAGGAGGAGGAGGAGGTGGGGGTGGCGGCTCTAAGTCCAGGGGAGGGGCCGGACGGCAAGGGGCAAAGGCACCAGAGGAAGTGGGCAAGGTTGCAGAGCGGATCACTGGGGAGAAAGGCTTCCGCCCGAAGTCCTACAAGCAAACAAGGACATGGTTAACAAGAGATGGGGAGGACATTCCCGGGCGCTTCCCCTGCTTCACATTGTTTCGACCAGTGGCACATATTAGTGCCGCCCCCCCTCCCCGTTTCCTGCAGCAGATCTACTCCAGATGGACATGAAGTCCTGAGCCAGGACATGTTCCCCATCCAGACTTCAGCTCCGCAAGAGGGCTTTGCGCAAACCATACGCTCACCTTCAGACCCCTGTATCCTTATAATGCCCGTCTCCTTAAAACATTCATGGTAAGATTATTAAGTCTATGTGGCTAGAAACAGTCTAATGCAGTGGTCCCCAACCTTGGGCCTCCAGATGTTCTTGAACCAAAACTCCCAGAAGCCTTCACCACCACCTCTGCTGGCCAGGATTTCTGGGAGTTGAAGTCCAAGAACATCTAAAGGCCCAAGGTTGGGGACCACTGGTCTAATGCATGGGCTCCAAACCTGGGTCCTCATAGAATGGCTGGACTTCACCCCCCCAGAAGCCCCAGCTAGCCCAAAACTCTGGCGGGCCAAAGGTTGAGAAGCTCCATAAACTGCAACACAAACGCAGGAGATTCCCCTCCCCCCTTGTTATAAAGGCCTTTTCGCACCCCAAGGCTGCGAACCCCTGAAGCCACACCTGCTGTTGCCCTGTAAGGCCTCACCTCCAGCCACTCTCCCCCATCCCAACTCTCACCTTGTGGTCAGTTTCATCTCCTAGGGACCCTTCACTGTCACTGTCTGTCACTCGCTCCTTGCATTTCAAGTCAACGTCCGCTGGGTTGAACCCATCTTCAGCTGCAACAGAACAAAGTGCATCAGCCAAGACATCTTTACCACCAAAACCCCAACATACTGAAGATCTGGAAATAACATTTGTTGAAAATGTAAGCACTCTATTACATCACGGATTTGAGGGATACAGCACATGTGTTTGAAATTACTGCTACACCTCACCAGGAAGAACTCTGTATCACGACAGCCGGGTTTCAAGGTGGGGCTGAGTCATCTCAGGAATACAAGAAGGCACTGGGCATACAATCAGTGAAATGTTCTGATGGGACAGGGGGAAAGGTAAGGCAGGAGGAAGGTGTCAAGATCTCTGTCTGGCCACAATCTAGCTTTCAGCCAGAGGAATGTCATTTCCAGTGTGTTCAGAGAATCTTTCAATACATATTTCAGATTAGTTACCCTTTAACCACTCTTATCGGACACTCAGCCAAGGCACCAAATCCACCAACAGCAAAAACTGAGGACTTTCCCCAATCTTTCAGTGTGTGTTTCTTGGCCCAAGAGATGATTTTATGCCAGCTTTTATACCAGCTTAGACCAAGGGCTCCTCTAACTCAAGATCTCTCCCTTTCCCTGGAGATTCCAGGGTTGGACACAAGACCTTTTTGGAGGGCTGGCAGCCCTTTTGGAAATGGGTGGGCTACCTCAGCAGCCATTTTACGAGGACACTTGCCACGCAATCTCAAAGACTAGAGGAACATTTCTATAGGCAGCCTGCGTTTGGCTTGCATTTTGCACAAGGATCTTCTCACCGATGACGTCATCATCGCCCTCTTCTTCACAGATCACCATGCGCTCCTCATCGCTGGTCATGTCCTCACTGGCTGTCCGCTGAGAATGGGAGACGCGGGGGGGATGCGGGTGTAGGGCGTGGCGGGGCCCTTCACCGGGAGTTGCAAAAGGGGACCCCGAGGGGCCCAGCCCCCCATATTGTCCCTTCGCAGTGATATATAGAGACGGTCCTGAACACATCTGCAACAGAACACAAGAATGCATTAGAATTCTGCCTTCCCACAAGCCACAGGGGGTCAGGATGACTTGAAGTCCAGGCCTCAGAAATGTCACCCAGAAAGGACAGACTCTAGCCAAAAGAGGAATTACACCAACCCCTTTTCCTCCAGAAAGCCATCCTGACCTTTCAAATTCATCCTGGACAGTTTTCGGAGCAAAGCTACCTTTTTCTTGATGTGTGAGAGATACTGTGTGCACTTGGTATAAACATGTCGATATATTAATACAGTGGTGCCTCGCTTAACGGGCGCCCCGTTTAACAACAAAATTGTATACCGATATTTTAAATGGGGGAAAATCGCTTTGCGATGATCGGTACCCTGTTTCGCTTACCGATTATCGCAAAGCGATGATTTTCCCCCAGCTAATCGGCGGTTCCAAAATGGCTGCCAGGTAAAAAAATTTGGCCGCCCGCTGTGTTTAGGGATGGGTTCCTCGCTTACCAGGCAAAAATGGCCGCCGTATGGAGGATCTTCGCTTAAAGGTCAGTTTTAAGCCCATAGGAACGCATTGAAGGGGGTTCACTGCATTCCTATGGGCTTTTTTAAAATCGCTTTGCAGCAATTTTTGCTGCCCCGATTAACATCACTATGCGAAGCACCAGTGTATTGTGTTTTTCACAGGTAAGCCACCCCCACAAAATAGGTTGATAAGACTGTAATCTAAATATTGTAAACAAGATTAACTAACTTTGCAGTGAGCCATGGCTGTCTCCTGGCAGAGACGTTCTGTGTGCCCAAACTCTCCTGGATTCCAGGGGTAACTCCTGTCCAACCACCCCACAATTCCTGCTGCCTTGTCCTTGTTACAACTCCACCTTATGTCCACGTACCTGAGTGAGCTCTTGTAGCACTTGGCTGTCTCGGTCACTCTCCAGCCCATGGACCCCACTGTGAGAGAAGGCCCGTGGGCGCTGCGCACCAGGCCCTGCTGTGGGCAGGATCCGTTCTCCATGGCCATGCCCAGGCCCTATGACACCTGCTTTACCCTCCGCACTGAGGAGCACCTGCATCTCCGAAGGACCTGGTGGGAATTGAAACAGTTTAAAGAAGAAGGGCAGGAAGGAGGCTTAGCAAGCCCATCCGGGGAGGTGTAAAAGGGGGAGACTCACCTCCCGGCACAGCACCAGTCCCCGTCTCGGACATGCTGCGCTCTCGGGTCTCCTTTGCACATCCCCCTGGCCCAGCAGGCTTGACATCAGAGCTAGACTTCTTTCGGTCTTTGTTACACCACTTCCAATCGGGGTGTGCTTTGAAATGGGCTTCTTTCACCTGGGGAGATGAGCCCAGAGAGAGAGGAAGACATATACCCCTGGCCATGCGGTCACGGGTTTAGGGCAAAGCAAGAAGGGTCATCACCACAACTGGAACCTACTTCAGAGAAGGCAAAAGGCTTATATCAAGAGAAAAAGCCAAGATCTACAAGCTAGGTGAAATAGATCAGTCCTATGAGACACATACCATTTATTCTGGCTTTGCTAGTTGTGGACAGTGAAACAAACATCTAATTTTGAAGCCCCGCTTGGCAAAACTGAAAACCTCCCATTGCTGGTTTTCTGATGAGCGTTGGGCACAAACTGCTGCCAGCTACCCACCCAAGATGAAGAGGCAGGGCAGAGACGCTCGCGGCCCTGCGCACACCACCTGTGGAACACCTATGTGGGCACCATGACAAATTGGGCCGAGCCACAGTTCATGCCCATCTCTACTTCTGATTTGTGAGATTTCAGTCAAGATTGATTTTATGGATCTTCAACTGTATTTCAATAGGTACCTGAAAGGCAAGGTCGTGGTATTTCTGCTTCTCTTTTGGCCCCAAGGCATACCACCACTCGCCCAGAATCTTGCTGACGGTGCGGTTGTCTTGGTTCGGGTGCCGCTGATGCACCAAAGCCCGATGTCGCTTGCTGAAAATCATGAAGGCGTTCATAGGCCGCCGAATATGATCTTTTTCTCTCTGCCCGAAAGACAGAAGTGCACTTATTCAAATGACGGCACGGCTACCCTAGATTGTAACCATTACCTAATGCAAATACAGGGTTTTAGGAATCATTCCACAGAAGGAAAGAGAGGAGCGGCAGGATTCCTGGAACGCCCCCTACAGATTTCTTAAGGGAGACTGATGGGGGGGCAAGGGAGAGCCCTCACACCTTGTTTGGACTGCGCCCATCCTTTTCGGAGGACGAATCCCGCTCTTTGGGCAGGGCACTCAGCGACTGGGTGCGACGCTTGCCCGGAGGCAGTGGCAGCTGGATCTCAGGAGATACAATGGACAGGAATCTGTGGAAGCGGAAGAGAGGAGAATCACAGCAAATTTCAGCATCTTCTGTCTGCCTTCATCCGGCTGTCTTGTTCAACCCTTCCTAAGCCCCCCCCTTTCTTCTCTCTATCACTCTATTTGATTTCATCCCCAACTGTTCTTGAACTACACTTTGTCCAGTCACTGTCTCCAGCTGCTGATTTCACCCTCTCTGCTCCCTATCATGACCAGATGTTTTGCCACAACCCAGCCGCCCCGTTCCTGCTCATCTGTGCGAAGACTTCACAATAAGAAGAGAAAGAGAGAAACGGCCACCTGGTCAGGCTGTTGGCAAACCAAGCAAAATAAAAGCACGTACTGACCCCAAAAAGCAGCAGGACTTACGCATCGTCGTGGTCGCTCTCCGTCTCGCTGTCCACACGTGGATGCCCTGGGACATCATCCTCGTGCTGGGATGGAACCCCACCCCCTCCCGGCGTTCCTGCCAATGGGGGCTGGGGAACCGGAGCCGGGCTGTCAGGGCGAGAGGTATTCGGCTTCCCGGTCTCAGCCCCGGGCCCTGAAGACGCGCCCGGGAGCTCATGGGCCACCGCAGCCGATTCCGGAGGTTCTGGGAAGTCAGAGAGGGAGGGTGAAGCGAAGGAACGGCCATGGGCTATTTCGGGAATGGGAACAGAAAGCACCGACGACGCAAGCAAACCCAATCTTGGCCGGGAAGGTGTTGGGCACACACTCCCCTCGCCGTCCTGCCCAGTGGCCTCTTTTCTGATAGGACCGCTTTGTGGGAAACCTGCACAGGTCCCACCTCTTCTCCCGCCTTCCTGGCCCTTACCTTTGTTCTGACTGGACGTGGAGGGATGACTGACAGGCTGCTGGCCTTCGCTGGGCTGCACCGAGGAATCAGGCTGGCTGGGTGCCAGGAAGGGCACCAGGGAGTGCCACGGGAATACCGCCACTGACCGCGGCTCCACATTCGTCCACACTGGAGGGAAAGGGGACACAAAAGGAAGTGTTACGGCTCTAGGGCAGCGCCGCGAGAGAAAAAGGGGCTGGGATTCGGTGGAAGGGGGCAGGCAGGAAAATGAGACGCTAGCGCAGTGTAGCTGGGGAATCTTTCTTTCTTTCTTCCTCCTTTCTCTTACTCATTCTCTCACACAGACACACAATCAATCTCTCTCTCACACACACACCCCTCTTGCTAACCCCTTTATGCCTTTTTTTAAAGGAAAGAAATGTGAGTTTTGCCCACAATCCATGCCATGCCTTATCCTTATCCCTCTGTTGCTTTTAGTCCCCGGGGAGGAGGGGGGCCAGTGGGAGATTTTCTCCTCCATAGTCTGCCAGGAAGCAACCCTGGCCGCCTCCTCCGCCCTTTTCAGCTGGAAGCCAGGCAAAGGAATTTTACAGCTGCAGGAGGGGAAGGGGAGGGAGGGAGGGGGCGAGGGGCCCAGCTCACTCTGACTCCCAGGACTGCTGGGGCAGCCCAGCCGCTTGGCTTCCTTCCAGCTGGAGGACTTGGGAGCATCCTCAAAAGCACAGGCCAGGCAGGGAAGGGACAGCCAAGCAGTGTCCCTGAGCCGCTTGCTACGGTGCCCCTTAGCAGGGGCAGAAAAGCCTCTCCATCTGGGAGAAGATGGCCATAAAGTCACTTGCAGAGACCTCACTGGCTAAAGCCCAACAATAGGGCAGCCTGCTCACACACAGGGCTCCCTCCCTCCTGTCGCTTCCTGCAGCCCCTATATCAGGCCGAGCAGTATTTCCTTCTCAAGGTATCCAGGAAAAACTCAGTCCAGAGGATGGGAGATGAACATGTTTGTAGACCCACACATTCTGCAACCAACCTCTCCAATCTGCAACCTCTCATTCCAACATCCCAAAACCACATTTCACGTAGAATACGCCACCTAAGCCCGGTCGCACCCCAACATCTGCCACGGGACACTCTCAGCATTACAACCTGCCAGCCCCAAGCTGGTGCAACACAGCAACACATCTTTACAAATTAAAAAAAAATCAGAGCCTTGCACCACTGGAGTGCAACCACTGCATGGGGAAAAGTTACTTCTTTGAATGACACCTCCCTGAATCTCCAGCCCACATGGTTACCAGGATTGTAAGAGTTTTTGTCGAGAAATATAACTTTCCAAAGCCCCATGCAGAGCACCCTGTAGATATTTCTAAATAATTCATGCTAGTCACCTGGTTAGCAGCCTTGGTTTTAGCAGCACAGACACCATGTGTACCCCTGGCCTTGATGCTCTTACAGAATACTATGAAGCATTACAAACATCCATAACTGGATAGTACCAACGCTAACCAGGTCTCCCCGAGGCTGCTTCTAGCTCGGCTCCACGGACACAGCCGTGTGCAAGGGTAAGATTCCAAACAGGAACACCCACCTACCTAGAGTACAACCCAACACACTTCGTCCTTATGAAACCATGACTCTGTAACCACTCTGCTCTTACATAATTATTATTCCAAGAGCAACGATATACTGTACCCTCGGGAACCCATTCATAACTAGTATTGAGCAGGGATCAATACTCGGCAAGCGGGGAAGGCACCCGATTTTATACCTCGCATCCCCACTTAGGTAGCAGATCAGACAGAAGCCAACAGTAAATACCTCTGCTTGACATGGCAGAGACCTACTACTATTCAAGGGTGACGATACAGGAACACATGGGCAGACAGTCGGACACGACGAAAGGCATATATTTGGGTTCCTTACATCACACATAATTCTGCTGGAGAAAGGGCAGGGATAATGTTCTTTTTCGGACTGTACATGGATTTTCAATTACTGGGTTTTTGCTAGGTGAAACGATGCGTACGTACGTCATCAACCACTTTCATGGACATGCTTAGGAGTTAAAAATTTCAAATTATGTAAGGACAGAGGCGTGGTCCTCTGCCAAAGGAAGAGTCCATGTCCATTCTTGCTGAAGACCCATTTCCACACAAGACATGATGCACTTTCCCCATCATCCCCCCTCTCTAGTTCCTAGGGACCAGTCATATTCTCTCTCCCCCCCCCACCCGGTCTGCTGCTTGCCTGTAAAGTTAACTCAATTATTAAAAGCCTTGAGTGCATCGTGGTCGAGAGGCTCTGCCGGGAAGTGCTGGCTCAGTGGCTTCCTGTCCTCCGGCTGGTGACCACATCCCTACGCAGGAGGGGGAAGGATTTAATGGGGAGGATGGGGAGGAAGGGGACCAGGAGAAGCAAGGACATGAAGCCTTCAGACCCCTCCCCAATACACACACAGAAGCATTCTACACAGAAGGAACAGGAACCTTAAATATCATCCCTGATGCCACGCCACCCCCTCCAAGCAGATTTGGCTTCTGAGATTGGTGCTGAATCAATATAGCAAAACCACAAAACATGTGACAAAGAAAAATCACAGACACTTGTGGGAAGGGACTAATTGGGAGCCACTCAACAAGCTGAAGATGAGGCTCCAGAGTTCTGCTACTTCCTTACTCTGACCAACAGAACATCCTTCCCTTCAGGTAATGTGGAAAAGGGCAAGGAGAGTTAGACTGGAAAGCCGTTTGTCTCCAGGTACCATCCATGAACTACTGTATCTGTGTTGTCGTAATCCCCTCACTTTGCTTTAGTCTCAGTTTTTTCCATCTACAAACTAACCCTAAGTTGATCTGAAAACAAAGCACAGAATCTATACTATTTAGTGAAGAGCACCTCTTAAAACAAAAAAAGACCCCACATTTTCTTTCTCCAGCCACATCCTGCTCCACAGAGAATGTCAATAAAACAGAAGGGATCAGTAGCCTTTGTAAGGAAAGGCTGCCATCAAAATGGGACATTCAGATAACACTTTGGGTCAAGCCGACCACTTTTATTACTACGGTCTCCGCTGCAGCGTCTCTAACAGCATCTTGAGTGCTACAATTTAAGAGCACTCCCTTCAATCACTACACCTTCACTCCAGGAAGAATTTCACCTGGAAAATCCATGCACAGCAGGTCTGCTGGTGGAAACAAAGCCCCGTATATTTCCTCCTTAACTTGCAAAACTGGAGCTGAAAACAATTCAAGTCCTCTTTCTCATTTACAGTTAAAGGACCTCCTAAACCTAATAGAGACTCCATGGAATGAGGAATCAGCCCCACATTAAATAGCAGATGCCCTCAAACCCTTTTAACAAAAAGCTATAGGTAGGTCACCCAAGGCAGTCTCAGGCCGCGCACGTTGTCCCCCAGCGCCCATCCTTCCAGCAACCCTTTAAAGCACAAGATGGAACATCGTGGCGCGGTGCCTTTCACGTCTCGGCACATGCAAGCCCCTGACAGAATTACTACAATCACGCTTCACAACCATAATCCACTGACCGAACATGCCCAGACCCCTTTGCGGAAGAGGAGGCAACGTTGCAGGAGGTCTTTCCGTAGAGAACATCCTGGGGTAGGGTAAGCTGTTGGGATGAGGAGGACTGTCGACCTTGACGACCACCACCACCACGACTGGGGATCAGCCGCCCCTTCTGCAAAGCATCCTCTTCCTCCTCCTTCTCCTCCCCCCTCCGTGATGGAGGGAGGTTTGGGGATCGGTGTCCTCTTAACAGGCCTAATGAAGCCTTCCAGTGGGAGGGTCAGCTAACGGGTACTCCTCCAGGGTAGGGGGCTGCCGTGGTAAGCACTGGTCCCATGTGGGAAGGGCAGCCGGCTGGATGTCAACAGTGCGAAGGCCCCCCACGCCGGCTCTACCACGTGTGACAACAGCAGGAGGGGCCACACGCCTCTCGTCCTATGGCCGGTGGTCCTGGTCTTCCTCGCAGGCGGGGTGTGCTTCAGAGTCCCCCCAGCCAGCGGCATTGGGGTAAGTCGCCCAGCATCTTCAGGGTGGGAGGAAAGGGGGGGGCGAAGGCAGGTGTGTCGTGACTTGTGTGTGTGTGTGAAAATGGGGTGACCCTGGGCAGACCCTGCTCGAGAGAGAGAGAGAGTGCCTGCTGGGGGGGGGGCGTGCAAGGAGAGGCGTGCACAGGCAGGAGGGGGGGTGAGAGGCGGGGAGGACCAAAGTCTTCCTAGCGGGAGTGTAGGTGGGCGCGTGTGCGTGGGATCGCTAC